GGTTGCTGGAATTGGGTATGTCTAGTTTAATGAAGAGAAGGACGAGGGGGGACATGATAGCAGTGTTCCAATATCTCAGGGGCTGCCACAAAAAAGAGGGAGTCAAGCTATTCTCCAAAGCGCCTGAAGGCAGGACGAGAAGCAACGGGTGGAAACTGATCAAGGAGAGAAGCAACTTAGAATTAAGGAGAAACTTCCTGACAGTTAGAACAATTAACCAATGGAACAACCTACCTCCAGAAGTGGTGGATGCTCCAACACTGGAAGTTTTTAAGAAGAGACTGGACAGCCGTTTGTCTGAAATGGTGTAGGGTTCCTGCCTGGGCAGGGGGTTGGACTCGATGACCTCCAAGGTCCCTTCCAACTTTATTATTATTATTATTATAAGCCAATTATCTGCTTTTTACAAGTTTCAAATTGGTAACTGATGTGGTAGCTGATAAAGTGAAACAAAGTAAAACAAGAAAGTCCAGTTGCCTCGTGAAAAAGCATCTTTGGGATAACGAGAGAAAGAGAAAGATGGATCAAGAAAGGATTCTTTCCAGGAGACCCACTATGACAGAATAGAATAGAATAGAATAGAATAGAATAGAATAGAATAGAATAGAATAGAATAGAATAGAATAGAATAGAATAGAATAGGAAGGGACCTTGGAAGTCTTCTAGTCCAGCCCCCTGCTCAAGCAGGAGAACCCATACCATCTCAGACCAGCGACTATCTAGCCTCTTTTTAAAAATCTACAGTGATGGAGCACCCACAATGTCTGGGGGCAAGCTATTCCACTGGTTAATTGTCCTCCCTGTCAGGAAGTTTCTCCTTAATTTCAGTTTGCTTCTATCTTTGATCAGTTTCCAACCATTGTTTCTTGTCCTGCCCTCTGGTGCTTTGGTGAATAACGTGACCCCCTCTTCTTTGTGGCAGTCCTTCAAATACTGGACTACTGCTATCATGTCTCCCCTATTTCTTCTTTTCTTTAGACTAGCCAAACCCAAGTCCTGCAGCCGTTCTTCATATGTTTTAGTCTCCAGGCCTTTGATCATCTTAGTTGCTCTTCTCTGAATTTTTTCCAAACTCTCAACATCTTTTTTGTGATATGTGACCAAAATTGGCTGCAGTATTCCAGGTGTGGTCTTACTAGGGTATTATAAAGTGGTAGTAATATCTCACCTGATCTTGATTTTATGCCTCTGTTTATACAACCCAGGATTGAATTTGTTTTTTTGGCTGCTGCTGCACACTGCTGGCTCATGGTTAAGTGATTGTCCACTAGGACTCCAAGGTCCCTCTTACGGTTACTCTTTTTAAGCCAGGTCTTGCCCAATCTGTACTTGTACCTGTGTTTTTTCCTGCCTAAATGTAAAACTTTGCTTTTCTCCACATTGAAACTCACTTTGTTGGATAGGGCCCATTGTTCAAATTTGTCAAGATCTTTTTGGATCCGGAGTTTGTCTTCTGGGTTTTGGCTACTCATGCCCATTTGGTGTCATCTGCAAATTTGATGAGTTGTCCTTCAATTCCCTAATCTAAGTCATTGATAAAGATATTGAAGAGTACTGGGCCTAAGATGGAATCTTGTGGTACTCCACTGCTTACTTCTCTCCATGTGGATGTAGTGCCATTGATGACTACTCACTGAGTACAGTTTACCAGCCAGCTACAGATCCATCTGGTGGTGATGTTGTCTATTCCTCCTTTTTCTAGCTTACTTAGGAGTAGGTTGTGGTCTACTTTATCAAATGCCTTACTGAAGTCTAAGTATACTATGTCCACAGTATTTTGCTGGTCTATTAGTTTAGTCACATAATAATAATAATAATAATAATAATAATAATAATAATAATAATAATAATAATAATAATAATAATAATAATAATAATAATAATAATAATAATAACAATAACAATAATAATAATAATAATAATAATAATAATAATAATAATAATAATAAAGTTGGAAGGGACCTCGGAGGTCATCTAGTCCAACCTCCTGCTCAGGCAGAAAACCCTATACCATTTTGGACAAATGGCTGTCCAGTTTCTTCTTAAAAACTTCCAGTGTTGGTGCATTCACAGCTTCTGGAGGCAGGTTGTTCCACTGGTTAATTGTTCTAACTGTCAAGAAGTTTCTCCTTAGTTCTAGGTTGCTTCTCTCTTTGGTTAGTTTCCACCCGTTGCTTCTTGTCCTGCCTTCAGGCGCTTTGGAGAATAGCCTGACTCCCTCTTCTTTGTGGCAGCCCTTAAGATATTGGAACACTGCTATCATGTCCCCCCTTGTCCTTCTCTTTGTTAAACTAGACATACCCAATTCCAGCAACCGTTCCTTATATGTTTTACCCTCCAGTCCCCTAATCATCTTTGTTGCTCTTCTCTGTACTCTTTCTAGAGTCTCACCATCTTTTTTACATCGTGGTGACCAAAACTGGATGCAGTATTGACGTTAAACTGATTGGTATTACTGTTTGTCATTGCATTGATTCCTCTGCCAACAATAGTGAACAGGTCAGGCCATGGATATCAAACATCAGAAATATCTGCCAGGCTATCTCTCGTCTTTTACATGGACAATCTGAAGCTGTATGGAAAAACAGCATCTGGAGCAGAATTGCTGCTCAAAAATGTGCCGTCCTCACCATCAACAGGGGAAAAATAGTGAAACCTGAAGGAATCAAGATGCCCCACGAAAATAACATCAAGAGTCTGGATGAAGTCAATCACTACAAATGCCTGGGTATCCTTCAAGCTGAGAACATCAAGCACACTGAAGTCAAGAAAAAGGTTAGAAATGAATACACCAAGACAGTGAAGAAGATCTTAAAGTCCAAACTCAGTGGAGGAAATATCATCAAGACAATTAATGCCTGGGCTATTTCAGTTATTAGATGCATAGCTGTAATAGTGGACTGGACTCAAGCAGAAGTAAAAGCTCTGGATAGGAAGAGTGAAAAATAATGACAATGAATTATGCCCTTTATTCACACAGAAATATTGATGGACTCTACATACAAAGGAGCATAGGTGGGCATGGAATGTTTAGGAATAGAACAGAACAGAACAGAACAGAATAGAATAGAATAGAATAGATCTTTAAAATTATATTAAACAACATCTGCCTATCTGAAGTCTCCCCCTATGTCACCCACCTTCCTGGGTGGAGATGGTTCCTTCTGCACAAGGAATACAGTCATAGCAGCAGATGGGCTTTCCTTCCTGAGCCACCTTCCTGAATCCGGGACGACAACTTTCCACACATCTGGAAGGAGGCAGAGGCTGAGGAGGGAAAGGAAGAACATTCAGAATATAAACTCGTTTTGAGAAAAAATAGGAAAGGATGGACCACCTCATCCAAATGAATAAGCTGCAGGCTATTTGCCAGTTTATCATCTCATCTGATGACGAGAACAGACATAAGTTTGAAAGTTAGATTAGTTTAGATACCGACTTCTTCTAGAAAAGGACATTAAGCTGACACATTGAAGTCAAGAAACAGGTTAGAAGTGAATAGAGCGAAGAAGATCTTAGTCCAAACTCAGTGGAGGAAATATCATCAAGGCAATTAACACCTGAGCTAAGAAGTCTTCCGGTCTTGGGTCATAGCGATGCGCCTGAGGGATTGTGGGGCTCTGCACCCCACAACGGGTTTCATCCTGCTAGAGGACTCTAAATGGGTTGAAAGTCATCCCGGAGAGGCAACGAAGAAAGAGGCCCCTCCTGCTGATTGCGGAATGATGGCGGTCAATCCATTTGATCCGAGGGAAGCCCTCCAACCCCACAAGAGAAAGGCTAGCCACACCTCACTGACTAGCCCAGGCTACGGGCAGCTGAAGTCCAAAAGCACTAACCAGAACAACTGTGAACAGCGTGCTTGGAACTGGGTGAGAATAATCGATCTTATCTCTCCTATCTTGTAACTGATTTCCTGGAAAAGATCCCCAAGAAGCAAAAAATCCTCTGAAAGTGGGAAAGGAGGGGACTACACCCCCACCCTTCCATAGACGGAAGCGGCGAATTAATGTTTATGGGGGACAGAAATATATTGAAATGAGGTTAATAACACTATAGTCTGGATAAATCTGAAAATTATGAAAACTGTTAACTACTGACATCTAGTGGAGGATTAGAGCATAAAACTACAGCTGCATTGACTCAAAAATTGGCAAGATGCTCAGAAATAGAGAAAAACTTATTCCTTTGAACCTCAGAGACTTTTAGCCAAATAAAGAACAGCTGGGAACAGAAGAAAGATACACTGGACTGTCTAGTACAAAGTGAGAATCACATTTGTTTTAAAAAATTGTTGATCTTCTGGGATTATAAATATTTACTGAGCTGTAATTTCTAAGCTCAAGAATTGTTTGCAGAGAAAGAAAAACCTTGACTTTTGGCTAATCTTCTAGGGGGGAATTTACTGGAAAGCTCTTAGGTGGGTAAACATTCTGGATTACAACTTTGGCTGGTTGATAATTGTAAGACCCCTGAACAGAAGAACTGTTATAAAACATTCCTTTCTTTTTTTTTTTTTCCAAATTTTTTTTTATTATTTTCATCATAAAACAAACAATCATACAAGTAAACAATAAAACTAGTAAAATCCCCCCACCCCACCCCCTGGACTTCCCAAATCTAATCCCAGGATAATATTCATATATAAGTAAACAAATACTAATATCTCTAACTCCACGAGGTATCTTAATCTATATAAAAAAAATAAAAAAAATAAGCAAAGTAAGAAAAGTCTAATAACCTAAATTATATTCTACCAATCTATGCTTCTTTTGAATATAAACAATCCATCTTCTCCATATTGATAAAAATTGTTCATTCGAATAGTTCTTCAAGTAAGCCGAAATCTTTGCCATTTCAGCAAGATTCGACACTTTCAATCTCCAGTCTTCCATTGTAGGCAGAATTGGACTCTTCCAGTTTTGGGCTATCAACAAACGGGCAGCAGATAAACAGTAAAACATCAAATTTATTTCTTTTGCATCTAAATCTTGAGCAATACCTAAAAGAAACAACTGTGGGAGAAAAATAATCCTTTTCTTAAAAATTTGCTGTAAGTTCCACCACAATTGTATCCAAAAGGCCTTAATAACCTTACAAGTCCACCACATATGAAAAAAAGTTGCATCTGGATGTCCACACCTCCAACACTTGGATTCATAATTCACATAAATACGAGACATAGTTGAAGGATCCAGGTGCCATCTATAAAACATTTTATAAAAATTCTCACGTAGATTTTGAGCTTGTGTGAACTTCACATTTCTCACCCAGATTAACTCCCAAGTGTCCATAGGTATTGTTTCTCCTATATTTTGAGCCCTAAAACATTCCTTTCATTGGTGCTTTAATAATTGGAAACACATTGGATTAAAAAAACCACATATAAAGATAAGAACTATATAAGATTTGGACAAGACTAATCATAGAGACTATGATACCAGTAAAAGACTATCTGGAGGGGGGAGAGAAAATGGATGTTGCATACCTATCTAAAAGTGACAGGAAACCACACCTAATATTCTCTTCTGAAGGCCCCAACCTGCAACATCAGAGATCTATAGGAACAACACTACAAGACAAAATATATACTTTCCAGGAGGAAATGTATGCAATGCTGCGACAGATTCAAATGACAATTGTTTCAAACCATGATAACATTAAAAACAACTTCGATGATATAAATGAGCACATCTTCAACCTAAATTTACAATTAAAAAACCTCTCAGAAAATGACAATAAAGAATAAACAAACAAATCAGATAATAGAACATAAACCAGAGGAAAGTGACCCAAATAGGGAAGCTACAAATGAAGAGAACTAAGCTTAATACAAACTAAAGGAAATCTGCAAGATTTTGCCACAACAATGAAAATGGAAAAGATAATTTATCTTTCAGGACTTCAAAACAAACTTGATAAGAAAGACAATCTAACAAAATGGATTACAGAGTTGCCAGGAGAATCATTAGAGTTTGGGAGACAAAAAATGTATATCCTACTTAACTTGTCTTTCCCATTCCCAACAACACTCACAAAAATACAGGAAGAACCCCCTGGCAAGCAGAACATATTGACTCGGAAAACTACCTGGCAAAAGAAGAAGGCTAGAGCTATATTTAAGAGATTTGATTCGATTTACCAGATGGAGTACTATATGATTAAACATAAAGAAAAGAAGAAACAGGGGAGACACGATAGCAGTATTCCAGTATTTGAGGGGCTGCCACAAAGAAGAGGGGGTCACGTTATTCACCAAAGCACCAGGGGGCAGGACAAGAAACAATGGTTGGAAACTGAACAAAGAGAGAAGCAACCTGGAATTAAGGAGAAACTTCCTGACAGGGAGGACAATTAACCAGTGGAACAGCTTGCTTCCAGAAATTGTGGAGGCTCCATCACTGGAGATTTTTAAGAAAGGCTAGACAGTCACTTGTCTGAGATGGCATAGGTTCTCCTGCTTAAGCAGGGGGCTGGACTCGAAGACCTCCAAGATCCCTTCCAGCTCTATTCTATATATATATATATATATACTTGTTTGAATATGGTTAAAAGAATAGATAAATTTTGGATATAAAGGGATCCTACAGTAAAAGGGATAAGATATATAACTAGTATAGTACTTTTAAAAAGATATGAAATGTAAAAATATTGGGATGGTATATGTAAATGAAAAGTTTGGATATTTAAAGGTAATTAATTTTGAGAAAATTATGACCGATAAGAATGTTTGAATATTGAAGGGAAAACAAGCTTAAATAAGAATCTTGAAAACAGGACACACAGTGACTTAATAAGATGACTTTTACAAATACAATTGAAATATAAGCGGATCATAAAAGATGTTATATGTTGATGTTATTGTTATTTGTACGAATACAAGAAAAATGTTTACTGTATATTCAACCTTGTATGTATCAAAAGTATTAAGAATTATATTAGCTTAATGTTGACAAAGGAGAATACTACTAGAAGAAGAGAAGATCAAGGAAATATATCATTAATTAATATATTGATTATGGAATTATAGAAATTAATTATTATTGATTGTTTTAAATATACTTTAGTGCGTTTACTATGCACTAAAGACTGCTATTGTAAAAAATCAATAAAATATATTTTAAAAAATGAGCTAAGAAAAATACAACATTTCTGATGTGAAATTGGGAGTCCTTCAAAGCCACTATTACTCCATTGTGAGAATTACAGAAAGAGTGAAATAAAGAGGTTTCCTCACCTTGTTCAGCTTTTCCACCTGTGCAATATTGTTCTCATAAATCACCAGTTTGGAATCCTGGATTCCCTGTCTTTCTAGATGCCCAGATTTCATTCTGGTGACAGACTTGTTGGCATAAACCATCCAGTTCACAATGTCCAAGTCAACAGCCAGGTCTCCATTCTCATCAAAATATACCCCATCAATGGAATGATTATACAACTGGGGGTTTTGAAGGAAAGCATGAAACTGGAAAGGAAGAGAAAAGGAGAATATTTGGAAAAGAAACCAGATGTTCTATGATAAACCCCCCTGGTTTACCCTGAGGGCGAACTGAATAGTTCTCTACAGAAAGCCCAAGTTCTAGATTTATTTACTCCTTCGGGGCAGAAACTGTACATAGTTGAACCATAACAGCTACTAACTTATTGCTTAAATACTGTACATACAGAGTAAACTGTGCAAGTGGGACTTTCAACATCCATGTAGCATTTGTGTTTCCACTCTTTTGTTCAGGCATCATCATCATCATCATCATCATCATCATCATCATCATCATCATCATCATCATCATCATCATCATCATCATCTATATAAATAAAAATGTAAATGTTCGTTTGTTCAAATTCTTAAATCTCTGAAAGTTCTTCACCAATTGCTTTGAAATTTTGACACAACGTTGCATTCGAATACACGCGTGTTTGTATATACCTACTATTATATTATATAGATGTCACACCTGTGACAGGTAAAAACATGCTTTTTTTGAAAAACAGCGCCATCTGTTGGACGTAAATTTAACCAGACTGAGCCACAGCAACGCGTGGCCGGGTACAGCTAGTAATAATAATAATAATAATAAAGTTGGAAGGGACCTTGGAGGTCATCTGGTCCAACCCCCTGCTCAGGCAGGAAACCCTATACCATTTCAGACAAATGGCCATCCAGTCTCTTCTTAAAAACTTCCAGTGTTGGAGCATTCACCGCTTCTGGCTATGAAGAAAGGCTATGAAGAAAGACAGCAGCTCATCCTGGTCACCCAGCCCAGCCATTTCTTCTCTTTTCTTTCTGATCTTAGTCTTAATCTTGACTCCCTCTTTTTTCCCTGTTTTTTCCAGACCGGAATCTAAGGACTAGCAATTTTCTGGCCTTAGGGCTGAAATATTCTATCAGCAAAGAAAGCATTGCCCCCTTCTTGTATTATCTTCTCTCCATTAGTGGTGAAGCCTTAAGTAGACCCAGTCATGATTGTCCCAAATGTGCTTTTCAAAAGGCAACTGGATTTCCTTGGTGTTTTCCTTGAAAATGTTTTGCTTCTCATCCAAGAAGCTTCTTCAGTTCTTCAGTGCCCCTTGCAAAGCATCTTTGGGACAAAGATTGGATTGTAAGGTGACTGGCCCTTGGCCAAGCTTGAGAAATCATAAAAATATAATCATGAAAACTCAGAGGCTTCTTAAAGGTACAGCACTTTATTTTTGATCAAAATAAGTCCTGGGTGGGAACACAATCTGAACACTGGCAACAGATGCATTCAGAAGTGCCACCCCGTAGAAAGTTAGTAACATTGCTTTATAAACTTTGTTAGCCAATGAAAATCAGACAACAGAGTTATTATAATATAAGGAAGACATCAATCATTCCTGTACACTCCCTTATTCCCTCCTTCAGTACACCACATCCGTGTGCATGTTTCCCACACTTGCATGAAATTTGTCCCTGATGCAAACACTGATTAGAGAAGTGAGATAGCTATAGATAGGCAAGGCTACACAATTTGTTTCTTTTTCTAATTCCCATTACAGAACCCCTACAGGATGATCCAGAGGCATGGTACTCAGTGTCTTTTTTTTAAATAAATATTTTATTGGCTTTTAACTATAACAATCTCCAGTGCCTGGTGTACAGTGTGTTGTTTTGGTTTATATTTTAAGAAGAAAAAAGGACAATAATAATTAATTAACAATCAATAATGATTAAATTTGATAATTCCATAATTAATATATTAATTAATGATATCTTTCTTTGATCTTCCCTTCTCCCATTTATATTCTCCTTCAACCTTAACCAAAATATAATTCTTAATATTTTCAATATATAAATGATTAGATATAGGCATTTTTTATATTTATAGAAATAATAATAATCTCTATGTATAACATTTTTTCAGCTTATATTATTCTTATAGCCATCATCTCATTAGTTCAGCATGCATCCTATTTTCATAATTTTTGTTTATGCTTAATTTCCCTTATATTCAATCAAATTCTTATCAGTCATGATTTCTTCATATGTTAGTCATCTAACTCAGGGCTTTTCAACCAGTGGTATGGGTACCACCTGTGGTACATTGGCACCTGGCAGGTGGTACGCGACCATCCTAGAAAAGTAGCGGGGGAGGGGAATGAGCTGAACCGGTGGCAGCACCGCACAAGCCTGAGCGAGAGATGGCTGGAGCTGCAGGGCTGTCAGGGCTGAGCGGAAGCGCCAGGATCAGTGCCGCTTTCTAGTTGATCGGTGCTTCTTCAGGGCTGTCAGGGCTCAGTGGAAGCATCAGGATCAGCGCCAGGCTCCAGGTGGAGCTTGGCGCTGATCCTGGTGCTTCTGCTGAACCCTGAAGAAGCACCAATCATGCTGGAAAGCAGCACTGATCCTGGTGCTTCTGCTGAGTCCAGAAGAAGCGCCGATCAGCTGGAATGTTGCAGCATCTCCAGGGTCTTGTGATTTACATTCAGATGCTTGGCAACTGATTAATATTTATGACGGTCACAGTGTCCCAGGGTCATGTGAAGTGACCAAAACCTGCTGCAACCACCCAGCAGACGGAGGGAATAAAAACCAAACACCCCACCCCACCCCCGCTGCCAATCCTCAACAGAAAAGCTCACAACAATGAAAACCTTGGACAGGAGGAAGAGCGCCGCCGGGCAGGCAGGTGTCTTGCTCGGCTGTGGCTTGGGGGCACTTTTTTCAGTGCCATTGTATCTTCGAACAGTCACTAAGTGAACTGTTGTAAGTCTAGGACTACCTGTACTTTATCACTTTTTTCCTTTTTTTTTTTTGGTCATCAGGTTTTTGACACCTTGCTAGGCGACTGGTGGTACTCGGATATTGCCATATCCTAAAAGTGGTACAATGGGTGAAAAGGTTGAAAAGCCCTGATCTAACTGTCCAAATTTTCCCATTTAAGTACATCATCCCAATATTGTATGTCTTGTATTATTAAAATACTATACTTTTTATCTATCTTGTAGTATCTAAATATAACATCCTTTAATCAGTTTATATTTCACTTATATTAATAAAAGTTACATCAACCTGCTATTTTTACATTTCATATATTATAGAACATACTATATTACTTAAATCTCTTATGCTTCTTGTTATATGTCCCCTTTATGTTCCAGATTTTCTATTCTTTTAGCCATATTCAAACAAATGTTTATTCACATAATACTCCATCTGGTAGGGCAAGTCAAATCTCTTGTATCTGCCTCTGATCTTCTTCTTTTGCTGAGTAGTTTTCCAAGTTGATGTAATCCGCTTACCCAGCGGTTCCTGTATTTTTTGCAAATGTTGTTGGGAATACAGTGTCTTAATGATGCTGGAAATGATCTCAGCTCCAACAGTTCAAGCCCAGGCACTGTGTGTTAGGATCAGCTCCCATTGCTTGCCTCAGCTTCTGCCCACCTTGCTGTTCAAAAGGATGTCCTATGCAAGTAGGTGAATAGGTACCACTTCAGTGGGGAGACAAGCTGGTGCTCTGTGCAGGCAGTCAGATTCCTGATGGCTCTGAACCTTCCTGGTTGTGGTGTCCACTTGCAAGAAAGGGAGGAGGCCTTAGGTGATGCTGCAGGAAGAGCTGCTTCTCTTTCTCTCTGGTGTGAAGGTTGGGAAGCATGCAAGCATTTCTTATAACAGGGCTGGTACCTTGGCAAGCCAAACTACAATAGCATTGTGGTCTCCTGGCTACTGTAACGCCACCATATGATGATGATGATCAGTGCTTTTTTTGTAAAAACAAAAGGTGCCGGAACTCACACATGTCATACAACCTGCCTTGCTACCCTACAAGGTTCCATCCAAAAAAGGTGCCGGAACTCCGTTCTGGGCGTTCTATGACAAAAAAAGCCCTGATGATGATGATAATAATAATAATAATTGTTCTGATGCCTGAATTAAGATGCTTTGTAATTCAAGCACAGACAGATGACTCAATAAAGATGATTGTAAAACACATTTATTCAGGGATACTGCTGAACTCATGTTTCTGTAGTTTCTTTTGGATATTGCATATCTGTTCATCTTTATAGGTAAAAAATCAATAATTCCTTCACATCACATCTAGAGTGGATTAGAACCGTATGTAGGACCATGTGTGTCCTCCGGTGGTCCCATGTTTATCTCAGACAAAGGCATTCCAGCCTGGCACGTAGCCAGGCTATCCTGTGATGAACTTAGTAGCCCCTCCTACTGATCTGTTAACATAAGCTTCACTGAACAGCTAAACTACATTACCCATAAGCCATCTCTTAAGGAGACAGCGCTTAACCCAATAAATGCCAAACATTCTAACATACAGACCCATCTAACTGGCTGATCCAGAACAACAACAACAACAATAATAATAATAATAATAATTAATAATAATAAAAAACCAGGATGATTGAGAATCTCCATAGACATTGAATCAGTCCTGACTTTTCTCCTGCACTTTTCAGCCTTTGGTTTACTCCAGACAAAAAGAAAACATTTTTGGTAACCTGGATGCAGAACCCTTCCTTCTTACGGTTTGGAACTGAGTTGTACCTGCCAGGCCTTCAGCCTTTCAGCTCCCAGGTTCTCATCACTCTTTCTCATTGGCCCCTTGGATCTGGAGAAATAGGCTGAATGCATGGCCAGACCCACAGCCCAGATTATGTTGTAAGTGAAAGAACTGTCAAGAGACAGGATTTGTTGGATCTCTTCTTTGGGCAGAAGCTCCAGTTCTTCTCTTTCTCTGCACTGTCTCCAGACTTTCACAGACAAGACATCCTTGATGGAGGAACACATAAAGGATTTCTCTATAAAGTGTTTCATGGAGGAGTGAAATTGCTTAAAAGCATCAAAGGCCACCATTTTACTTGTCTGCACAAGAAAGGAAAAAAAGCCCCAAATGTTTTGGAAGGTAGAGATACTACTTTCCATGAAATCCCAAGTGAGATCCCAGTAGGCTGCTATGATCCAGAGTTTTCCCGTGGTGGGTTCCTTAAGATGTTTAAGCACTCCGTGAATAATGAATATTCCTATCTGGAATGAACTAATCTCTGCACCGTAGAGAAAGACATTCACTTGTCTCGACTTGGCAAATGGTTCCAACGTCATCACCAAGTTTGTGATTTTTACGGAAAACACTTGAGATAAAACTGGACAAATGCCCTTCTTGACCAGAATGGAAGTCATTGTCCTCATGAACCTCTCTCCCTGGTCAGTGTCTGGAGCCATCAGGCCAACCAAGGTCCATCTGAAATGGAGGAGCAGCTCGACCATTCCTGGATACTGGACTCCTTCAGCAGGAAGCATCGGGTAGAAGAATGGAAACTGAGTTTTGTCCCTCAGAATTGGGGAAACAAAACTGTAACTGATCTGAAAAATGAAGAGAAATTTATTTAGAATAGAAATAGAAATAATAGAACAGAACAGAACAGAATGGAAGTTGGAAGAGATCTTGGAGATCTTCTAGTCCAACCCCCTGCTCAGGTTGTCCAAGTTCTTAAAAACTTCCAATGTTGGAGCATTCACAATGTCTGGAGACAAGTTATTCCACTGATTAATTGTTCTAATTGTCAGGAAATTTCTCCTTAGTTCTAGGTTGCTTCTCTACTTGATTAGTTTCCATCCATTGCTTCTTGCCCTTCAGATGCTTTGGAGAATGGCTTGACTCCCTCTTATTTGTGACAACCCTTGAGATATTGGAACACTGTTATCATGTCATGCCTTGTCCTTCTCTTCATTAAACTAGACGTACATTATGTGACCCATTCAGTGACCAAATAATAATTCTCTCTCAACTGAACACTTCTGAAATATAGATCTTTTGGTGTTGACTTTACTTCTCTGCTCAGTTATTGCTTTTCTTTCCACTTGCTCTCTAAGTGCAGCATTTTGCTGTTCCAAAGTGTCAGAAGAGTCCTCATATTTGGATTGGGATCATAACAGAGCATAGAATAATAGAGTTAAAAGGGATCTTGGCGGTCTTTTAGCCCAACTCCCTGCTTGAGCAGCAGACCCTATATCATTTCAGATAAATGATTGTCCAGTCTCTTTTTGAAAGTCTCAATGATGGCGCACCCACAACTTCTGAATGCAAATTATTCCATTGGTTAATTGCTCTCATCATTAGGAATTTCTTCTTAATTCTAGGTTGCTTCTCTCCTTGGTTAGTTTTTAACTACTGTTTCTTGTTTTGCCTTTTTATGCTTTGGAAAATAGTTTGAACTTTGCAGAGCCCCTCAAATATTAGAAGAGCTCTATCATGTCTCCCCTAGTCCTTTTCACTTGACTAGCCGTATCCAATTCCTGTAACTGTTTTTCATACATTTTAGCTTCCAGCCCCTTAATCATTTTTGTTGCTCTACTCTGCACTCTTTCCACAGTCTCAGCTTCTTTTTAATATTCTGGTGACCAAAACTGGATGCAGTATTCCACGTGTGGCTGTATTAAGGCTTTTTAAATAGTTACTAATACTTCATTTGATTCTATCCCTCTATTAATGTAGCCTAGGATTGCATTGGCCTTTTTGGCTGCTGCCACATGCTGTTAGAATAGAATAGAACTGGAAGGGACCTTGGAGGTCTTCTAGTCCAGCCCCCTGCTCAAGCAGGAGAACCTGTACCATATCAGGCAAGTGACTGTCCAGTCTCTTCTTAAAAACCTTCAGTGATGAAAGTGCCCATGATTTCTGAAGGCAAGCTGTTGGCTCATATTTAAGTGATTGTCTACAAGGACTGCAAGATGCCTCTCACAGTTACTGGCTGTAAGCCAGGTTTAACCTAGTCTATACCTATACAGTTGGTTTTTCTTACCTAAGTGTAAAGCTTTTTTTCTCCCTTTAGGAATACTGATCTGTCATCTCCAAATTCCATGATAAAACTCTACTCTTGGATCTACATCTATGGCTAAATATTGTCTTCTTGGTAAAGAAATACCTGTGGGATTTTATAGGTGCCCAACATGTTCGAAATGAGGATGGAGATGTCAGCGTTGGCCCCTTCAAGAACAGCGAGAGTGTTTTTCTGCGTTCCACATCTGTAGTTGGGAACATTGGCCTCTCCATCTGAAAGCAGATCCAGAAGAGCATCCAAAGTAATTTGCTCACTAAAATAGTATTCATATATATTGTAACCCAGAGTGAGGTTAGGTAAGAGATTCCTAGAATCCTGGTGGAAGTGGTGGACAGCATAAAGGAAGGAGAGCATTTTCCAGTATTTTGTGTATTGTCCCCTGCATGTATAAATATATTAGAAAATGAATCGAAAGAACATTTTATTGAAATACTATTCAATATTCTACTTCAACCAGTATTCTTACGTGAGAGTTAAAACATTCCTAAAAATATTAATATAGAAAACTAGTCAAATTAATACATTTTAGTACTAAAGGTTTTCAAATCCTGTTTCAAAAGTAGTATCTCAGTTTATAACAAGATCAGAAAGTCAATTTTATGAATGGGTTGATGATATTTTGTAGCATTTTAGAATGGATTGTTTAATCTCTCCTAATAAGGGTGGCTGATATCCAGAGATATCTCACATATTTAAATGCAATACTTAACACATATAATTCATGTTATGTCTAAAAAAATCTAATTGTTATAGACCTTTGCTTATTCAGATTTTATATATATCTTTGGAGTTGGACCAAGAATTCAGTCTAATTTAATAGATATTCTCTCTTTCTCACCCTTTTAGTATAAAATCATCTTAGTCAGCTTTTAATATTTGGAAATTTTACCTATTCTTTAATATTAGTATAGAATGATAAAACTTGAAAGGGTGATTTAGGAGATAAAGTCTACAGTCTAATTTACTAGATGTAAACATAACCCAAGCACACCATTGTGATCATCGGGATCCTTGTATTAGATCACCATTTTAGAATGTTTTCATTTTTATTGAACTTGGGAGCATTAAATACTTGGCATAAATTCATAACTGGGAATTATAAACATTTGCCAAATCAGTGAATAAGTACATTCTTAACTGTGATTCTTTCATCTCAATATCTATGGAGATTCTCAGTCATCCAGGTCACAGTTGTCCCAAAGATGCTTTTCAAAAGGCAACTGGACTTTTGTTTTTTGGTTTTCCCTTGAAAACATTTCACTTCTCATCCAAGAAGCTTCTTCTGTTGCTCGTTCAGCAACATGATAGAAGTGTTCTGATATCTAAGGGGTTGCCACAAAAAAGAGGAGCTCAACCTATTTTCCAAAGCACCAGAAGCAATGGATGGAAACTAATCAAGGAGAGAAGCAACCTGGAACTAAGAAGAAATTTCCTGAAGTTAGGAATCCTCCAACACTGGAAGATTTTAGGAAGAGACTGGACAACCATTTGTCTGAAATGGTATAGGGTTTCCTGCCTGAGCAGGGCGTTGGACTAGAAGACCTAGAAGGCTAGAAGATCCTTTCCAACTTTGATATTCTGTATTCTGTTATTCTGTTGCCTTTTGAAAAGCACCTTTGGGACTTTCATCTCAATAGTTAATCTTAGTGTAGAAAAGAAATTGTGAATGTTCTCCCATCACCACTTCAGGGAGAAAATAGAGTACTTCTAAGAATTTGCAACCATGTCATTTTTCAGAAGTCAATATCACTTTGAGGACGGCTTTCTTCTTTCCTTCAAGGGCCAGAGAGAAGTAAAGAAGGACCACCCCAAACTCCATAGGCATCATGTAGCTCTGATTAAAGGAAATAAAGAAAGGAAATGTTTGTTCTGCACGTTGAAAGGATAGCAAAGATCTCTATTTTGACCATCTTACTTGATAGGTGCTGAGGAACCTCATCAGCTGCAGGACGGAAATTATATCCCCAAGATAAATTGGAACAGAAAGAGAGCAAAAGGCAAATCAAGTGGACAATAGCTGGTTAATTTCAGAGGGCTGGAACTGACTTACAAGAATAATTGAATGGAAGGAGTTTTGTTGAAGCTAAATGGTAGAAACCTAGCCTGGGTTGCAGAGATTATCCCACTAATGAGAAAATCTCCTGGCTTGTAATAATTCTGCGAATAAACTTCTTCTTGCTCCAGAGTCAAGAGGCATTTTGCTTTGCGCTGCTGAGAAGCTCCCTGAGGCCACAAAAGCAGCACAAGGAGAAGTAGAAGCAACATGACTTCCTGGCTTGATTCACTGTGGTGCATTGCAAACTTCTTCTCATAGACAGAGAAGAGCAGCTAGAAGAAATAAAAAGCTCTCTTCCAAAATACAATCTTCACTGACCTTCCTAATTCAGGAGCCAGACAAGCTTCACATCTGAAAGGGAGGGGAGTAAACACAGCCCCTGCCTGCCTTAAAAATTTCCCCATGATCTCTGTTTCTCCATAACCACTTATCAACCAACCTTTCTAATGAGAAGGTGTAATGCAGGATTACTCTGATGCCTGGCTTTGACATCAAAACATGTTTTTGATGGTGCTTGTTGACCAATCTGCTCAATAATTCTAGAAAGGTCTCTTGAGACTTAATAGAAGGACAACAAATAAATCTCAATGATCAGGATAATTGTGAGGAATGGAAAATCCCCTCTAGAAACTTTGAATTATTCAGCAGGTAGGTGCCCAAAGGGAGAACTCACAGAGGTAGCTTCAAACTTGGAAAATAGGCACTGAGGGACACTGGAGAATTTGGCCCCAAACTTTTTAGCATGGCCATGAATATGAATAGTCTCAAAACAAAGTAAATTTATATTCTGTCTATGTTCTTCTGTACAGCAGTGTACAATTGAAAAAGAAAAATTCAAGAGTACATGTAGTCCTCGGCTTACGACCACAATTGAACACAAAATGTCTGTTGCTAACTAAGACATTTGTTAAGTCGGTTTTGTCCCATTTTATGACATTTCTTGCTGCAATTTTTAAGTGAATCACTGTAGTTATTAAGTAAGCAACACCGTTGTTAAGTGAATCTGGCTTCCTTATTGACTTTGCTTGTCAGAGGGACACAAAAGAGGATTCCATAACCTCAGGACACTGCAACGATCATAAATATGATTCAGTTGCCAAGCGCATGAATTTTGACTACATGGCCATGGGGATCCTGCCATGGTTATAAGTGTGAAAAATGGTCATGTCATTTTTTTAGTGTCATTGTAACTTCAAATGGTCACTGTGAACTGTTGTAAGTTAAATGTCTATGGAGATTCTCAATCATCTACGTCATTGTTGTCCCAAAGGTGCTTTTTTCACAAGGCAACTGAACTTTCTTGTTTTTCTTGAAGATGTTTTGCTTCTCATCCAAGAAGCTTCTTCAGCTCTGACAGGATGGTGGGGAATGGAAGGATTTATACTCCTTGCAGAGAGCTAGTCATTTGCATTCTTTTAGTGAGTCGTTAATGCTACCTGGAAGCTTATCTATGTTGTCAGGATCACCTGAGTAGTGCAAATGGGTGTAATGCCTTCTTGGAACTGATGAAAGGACTGTGCCGTAGACTGGAGATAGATGATGTCATATCCCTCCCCCTCTGTTGAGAGAGGGCTGTTTAATTGTGACAGAGATGGCCTCTTTGACCCCTCTTTCAAACCAGCGGTCATCTCTGTCCAGAATGTGGACTTTGCTGTCTTTGAAAGAGTGGCCTTTGTCTTTTAAATGGAGATGGACTACTTGCGGGAGACTCATGGGAGGCTCATGTGGTGGCACTTGTTGTCTCCTGAGCCTGCAGAAGCAGGCTCGGGACGTTGCAAGAGTCCCGGGCAATTGCAAAAGCTGCCCGGGACCAGACTGAGCGGTGCCGGCCTTGCGCGCATGCGCAAGGCGGGAAAAGACCGCCTTGTGATTGGTTGGAATTGCCCAGGGATCAGAGGGTATAAATAGAGGCCTGCGTGCCTCTGCTCGGGTTGTTCGTAGATTGGAAGCAGAGAATAAAGACATGTTGGAAATGCATTGCTTCAAGCGCCATTATTATCCGGACTTAATACTGGCGACGAAGGTGGGATTCAGTCTAGATAGCTAGGGAAGCTTGAAGACTCACCCAAAGAAGTCCGGAAGAGGAACGACGGCATTGAAGTCAGCATCTATCCTGCCAGTACAGAATCTCTGGAGGGTGAGTGCGGCTGAAGAAAACCCTGTTCCTCGATCATGGCGAAAATTGGGCGTTTAGAGGAATTCGATGTCTCTCACCCCGAGAAGTGGGAATCTTACGTTGCAAGAGTAGAGACTTATTACCGCGTAAACCAGATAAGGGAAGAAGGTCTAAAGGCTGCCACATTGTTGTGCGTTTGTGGGCAAGACGCCTTTGAGATCGCCGAGAATCTAATCGCCCCGGCCTCGCTAGAAACTGTGTCATAATCCGATTTGAAGAAAGTTTTGAAAGAACACTTCCAGCCTAAGCAATCTGTCATTGCTTGGAGGCAACATTTGAACTGAGGGATCAGCGAGCTGGGGAATCAGCAAAAGAATACATTGCGGCTTTGAGAAGAGCAGCTAAACCGTGCGATTTCAAGGACTTAGAGGAAAGACTGCGTGATCGTTTTGTGTGCAGACTGAGGAACAGAGACTTACAGCAGAAGCTGTTTGCCAAGGAAGATGTCTCTTTCCAAGATGCTCTGCGAGAGGTTACAGCAGAGGAAGCTGCAGGTGGGGCGGTCAAGAATATGCGGCCTAGTCGAAGCGCTCCAGAGACCGCCACCATCCAGAAGGAAGACGTGCGAGAGGATTCGGAAGAAGATCCTGAAGAAGAGGTGGACAAGCTTTACCAAGCAGCTGGGAGGAGGTCCAAAGATCGTCAGGACAAGGGCCCAGCTGAGCTTCGTTGCCTCAGATGCGGTGGTCGCCACAAGCGAGCGGAATGTCGGTTCTGTTCCGCCATTTGCCGAGCGTGCGGAAGGAAAGGCCACATCGCTGCGGTATGCCTGGGTCGACAGAAGGTACAACCGAAGGAAGAATTGAATCTGAAAGGTACCAGGGTGCCCAGTCAAAACTGGGTGGGGTTCTGTGCAACACGCAGGAACATTTTAAGAATAGGCACACACAAACCCCTTAAAAAGAAATTATCCCTTAAAGTGAAATTGCAGGGAGTTCCATTGTCGATGGAACTTGACACGGGGTCTGCCCTATCCATAATTTCCCTCAACACATTTCACAAAATCTGCAGCAGCAGTGGCCAGCGAGTTTCGTTAAG